ACAAATCTTTCTCTAGTTGTTATAGCCAATATCTTTACTCCATCTACTATTATTTTTGTAAATCCATTCAACAATATCATATTGTAATATTTCTACTGCATTCGAATGTTCTGAAATATTAAAATTCAGCAAATGATTTAAGCTAGCAGTATCATTTATCATTTGCGAAAAGATATTAATTGTGGGTTCTGAATATAATAATGCTTGGTTATTTGTTTGATAATATTGTACTCTGTTTCCAAAAGCTTCAATTACCTCAACTATATTATATTCTATACTAACAATATTGAAAAGTCCAGTTGTATTAGATGAAAACTCTACTTTAACTGGTTGTAAACAGTCTTTATTATTTAATTGCACTTCAAAAACAATTTTTCACACAATATCACAGGTCGAATGAAGCCATATCAGGATAAAGCATGTTGGGTAAATATCAGAACATATCAGGTGTTCTGATATTTCAAGTAAATATCATAGGGATATTGGCATGATCGATAGCTCTATAGAATAGTCTATGAGTATTCCGACATGTCTAAGGAATATAGATATCAAATTGGTAATGTATCAAGCTATATCAGTAGAATCATCATCTAATATAAACTTGGCTAAAATTTTTGCTGATCTTTTATATCTTTGAGGATGTTAATTCAAATATTTCATCACCGATTTTTACTTTTCATATTCTTTTACTCTAGGCAAAACTGGTATAACATCTGATGTACTGATATCCCTATCACTTATTTACTTGAATCTATAATCATATATATTATTATAGTATTCAGTTAACAGAGCCAATAATTCTTTTGAAAGAATTTTTCGGTCATTTTTAGCTCCTAAGAATTCATCTAGAAAAGATTCACAACTAGTTCTTAAGCTTTCTTCAATATTAGTTGATATAAATAAAAAATTCTGGCAATGACTTCTATCTTGAATAGAAAGACTGCCAATTGCTACTCTTTGTTCAATAAATTGCAAGCATGCATGTAAATAAGCTTCAGCTTGTATAGTAAGTTTATCCAATAGAGAATAAGATTAAATGATTTTAAATAATTCAGTTTCAATTTTTCTATTACTATTATGAAATAAACCTATTAGTAAAATTTTATATAAAAAAAAATAAAAATAAATATTTATATAAGCTACCGGCATTTTAATATGGCTATTGATAAAAATTTTAAAGCACCCAACTTACCTAATAAGCTATTCATTCTTTCATACCTAAAGCACCAAAATGCATATATTGGTCTGTAGTCTATAATGCATTCACATATATGTAAACATGAATGTAAATTGGGCATTATTTTTTTAGGACCATACTTTTTCTAATAAGATTCACCATATTTAGAAAACACCAATGTGCTTCTTCCAATTTGTTTTTGAGTAAAATCCGGCATACCAAAATTGAGCATGCTCTAACAAAATTAGTTAGAATTTTTTGGTCATCATTTTTTAGTAAATCCCAAGTAATCGAAAATATATATATTAACATAAAAAACTTCTATTGGTTTGCTATAAAGCCAGAGAAACCATCCCCTATAGCAATTTTTTTTAGAATTCTACCAATATCTGATGGTAATTCTATTATTTTGGCTTATTGTTCTATTAAAGCTAAATCTTGAGAAGATAAAATTTCTTCTTCGATCTATAATTTTATAATCCATTTAGCTATGCCTAAAAATAAGCAATGCATTGGATCTACTATGGTAAACCAGACAGAATTAAAGTATAGGAGACGGTATATTTCAGAATATCAGACAGATGTTTCAGAAGTGTGTTTCCTTCTTGCATCTTCTGTGTGGCAATTCTTCTATGAAATTGTATTTTAATAAATTTCATTAATATTTTTTTCACAAAACCATTGACTCATATCATCAAATCCACCAAAGTTAGGTTGATTTCTTTTATCAAAATTAGCTCTTTTCATGCATCGATAACAAGTAATTCGAGCAAAAATAAAGCTATATAATTTTCTTGCAGCCAGTATATCGCAAGAACAACAAATTACTGCTACTCTAATGAATTTACCAGTAGAAATTTCAAAAGTTCTTTCTAATTCGATTTCTAATCATGTGATAAATTAATATACAAAAAAAAATAATTACTGTATTATATCGAAATAATGCTCTGGGGTGTAGGTTAAAAAAATTAACCCAAATTAAGTTTAATTTAGGCTAAATTAAGCTTAATTCAGGTCAATTTTTTTAACCTACACCCCAAGGCATTATTTCGATGTAATATGATAAGCAAATATTAAATATATATACTTACCATTCTACAAACAAATTAATTGGTCTATTAAGGGGCTAGATAATGATTTAATTGATGCAATTTAGGTTCACTTGGTCCCAGTATTAATGCTAAAGTCAATATATTTGATGGCTTAAACCGCTTATTATGTGGAAGATTGCAAATAATACTATAAATTGCTTTGACACTGTATTGTGAGTTATCAAATAGTTGAAACCAATCAAGGTTAATTATTAAGCCCAGCCAACTATCTGATAGCTCTTTACAGAAGAATGGTAAATCTTCTTCTGGATTTTGAAAAGTCATCTATATTCTTCTATCATATATATCAGTAAGTTGTTTAGGGTCATTATATCTATCTGCTCATTTTCTGCATGATTCTTCAAATCCTTTCTTATTGAACAATAACTGTAATTGATATCTCAAAGAAGCTATTAGATAGATTGATGATAGTTTATACATATCTCTTTTGAATGTTGAAATTTTTTTAGCAATTAGATAATTGCATGGAAGCTTTTGATTAGCAATAGAATGGTTTGAAAATTTTTGATAGTATATCGACTTATTTTAGAAGCCAGATTTGATTTGTCTGTAGACAAATCGGTAATATTATACAATTTACAACATTTTTCACATGTTGTATATTTTGTCATGTGAGTGCAAACACCAAGATCATTGTGCGCCTTATCTAATGAAGTAGAGAAGAGAGAATATGCATTCACATCAAAAAGATTTAGAAGATACCGAATTAATTTAAAAAAGAATTAAAAGCTATATTGACAACTGATATCTTCTTTGGTGTTTTAGAATCTATAACACAACCCATATAAACCCTTTATTAATATCTATGGATTCTTTTGAATTATTATTTTCAAATACTAGTTCCAGTGTACTAAAATCGATATTTTGATTAGATAAATCTTCATCAGATGAAATTTCTTCTCTTTCATCTATATCTTCATCTGAGAACAAAATATCAATAATATCTATAGATAATAGGTTATTGATCCTTCTACCTGTTCTGACTAGTTTTTTACCTTTGTTGGATTGTTCTTTAGAAATCAAACTATAATCTTCAGACAAAAGAAAAACCGAATCATGATCTGTGCTATTGCTATCAATTTGCATTGGGTCTTCGGGAATGTCTATTTCTAGAAATTCTATTTTCAGAAGTGTAATTGTAGAGATAAAAGTTGTTTTACTTGAAAATTCACTAACATCCTGATAATTTTTTTTTATACCAGTAATATTCATTTTTAACATGTGGGTTTATCTAGTTCATGGGTTAATCAGGTTACCCTTACAACTATTGCAATAGCAAGCTTTAAGGTAGCAGGTTGTTGAGTGTTTGGAATTTGCTTTGTCAATAGTTTTTTTTACAAAAGATTTCTTTTAATGACCCATTATAATATGAGAAGTTATGGGCAAACGAAAATATATAAGCAAGTAAATATAAAAGCGAGAGTGAAAAGAACAAGAACAATAGATTCAGTCTATTAGAAAACACGCTTATTTATATAATTTTCGATTTATTAACAGACTTATTAGAATGCCAATATGCCTAAAGGACTATTATCATGTGAATAAGTTTTTTGTTTTGATAATTATACTTTTTGTTTTTGTTTTTGCAATTATACCTATCAGAATTTATTTAGTACCATCAATCAGTATACCAATATGCATAAAAGTTTTCTAAAAGCTATTATCATATAACTTTGAACTCTTTGTATTTCTATCTATATAAAATATCGGTATGCCGATAGTTCTTCTGCTATATTTTAAGGTTAACAAATTTCTATACAGCTAATAATTGGTTTATAGTATTATTTTTTTTACATCTATAAACCTATTTGTAATTATATTTTTAGTGTATTGTATTTAAATATCAAAATAAAATAACAATAAAGCTATCAATATTCAAATATATTGTACTTGTTTGATTTTAATATAAACAAACTGAACTTGCATAATATTTATTTTAATTTCTATAGATTATGCGATATTATGCAAAGTCTGATTATATTCAATTTTAACTCAAATAACAGTTTATCCGAAAATAAAATCTGACTAAATTTTATAAATAAGTCATGGTTTTTTTAAATGCTTACGATAACTGATTTAATTCTCTTTTGAGTACACGTTAGCATATTTTACTCTTTTGTATTGTTAAATATATCATACTTTTATTTGAGCCATGTTAGTTGACTTACTTTTCATTTCGCTTATATTTTATTTAGTAATAACTATAATACTGTCATATTACATATTTAGTCTAAGGTAAAAT